TCTTGGTGACGTGTTTTGGCTTTAAATAAAAATGTACTGTAAACTATACACCCCTAAACCTTGTTTACATTAGGCTTAGATTAAAATACGTACTAATAACACCCCCCAATAAAATAGATTAAATAGTAATAAGTAATATAAAAATAAGATAGCAAAAACTTGCGGTACACAGTGACTTCTTTCCAGTAGACGTTGATGTCTCTGCTTCGTTAGCAGCATACGAATCAATCAGCTGGTCACAAGATGTGCTAGTCAGCCCGTCACAAGAATACTGGCCCATCACAAGAAGTGTTGGCCCTTCACAAGGACTACTGGCCCGTACCAAGAAGTGTTGGCTTTCACAAGAGTTGATAGCCCGTCACAAGAAGTGTGTGCCCGTCACAAGAACCCTAAAGAAAACGTATAAGATAAAACACAGCGATAACTATTTATCCCTGGTTATGTAAAGAAGTTAAAATTAAATAACCAGGTACCTACATAGCCTTCTCGTGAAGCGAGGTCTAGAAATAGGTAAAACTACTCAACGTTTACTAGTTAAATTAAGTTCGGCTTATTAATTTATGTAGGTTTTTACAAAGCAAAAAGACGGCTCGTGAAGCGAGTTCTACCCAACAATTACATTTAATAAGCAAATTACACCCTTAGACTTCAAGATACTACCCCTAATAGTTCATCCCATATACTGGAAATATATACAACGAAAAGAACATAACCTAGGGTTAGGTCTAAGTAAGCATTCTAACTAAAATCAAAGCATATTTACCTCTGTTACAGCTAAAAAAGAGGGACAAAACGGTGCACCAGATCAATTGAACGGCAAATTCGTGAACGACTTATTCAGAAAAACTACATATACAGTGTGTCTGAAAAAGTTGGCAACAAATGGGAAACTTTTTTATTATTAAGTTTAGGAAAAAACGTCATTCTTCATAAAAAGTTCTGTAAGGCCTAAAACCCAATATACGATAATCAGATATCGAAATTTTCCAATCGTATACGAGGTTTGTCAAAAAGTATGAATTTTGCTCAAGAGTAAAGTACCTTTATTTTCGACAATATCTAAAATTGTTATTAAGAAAAGTTGATTAGAATTGAAAACTACGTTTAAATGTCTAATTACAGCTATCTACGATAAAAACCAGGTTTTATTATTGTTTACAATTTCTTTAAGATCGAAAATGATCAAAAACTAGGTATCTAAATTATTGACCTGTACAAAATCAAGTTGCTGTGGAAATGTTTTGAAACATATCTTATGTCAGTATGCTTCAAAACCTCAGATATCGATAGAAATTAAAAATTATGTTCATGTGCACTTACTGATTACACCACTCATTTTCTCATTGCAAATTTTGCTATAAATATTGACTTTGTTTTGCACGAGTTATCAATAATACAATGTAAACAAATGTATACATAATTAAAATCATTTATTTTCAAAACACAACATCAAACATTACATGCATGAAAAAGAAGAATCCGGATTAACTTTTCCCTCACTGCACGTACGCCTCAACATATCCACCGTCCCTTTCTAAGCAGGTAATTGTTCTTCGAGAGAATTCTTTTATTGCATTTCTAATAACATCTGGAGTAACACCGTCACATGTTTCCCTAATTATTCTTTCCAAATGATCAATATTTTCAAACGGTCTTTTAAGGTATACCTTTTGCTTCAAGTATCCCCATAAAAAGAAGTCTAGGGGGGTCAGGTCCGGAGATCTTGGAGGCCAAGCAAAGTCCACAAATCTTCCAATTACTCTTCCGTTAAAAATTTGTAGAAGACATTCTCGAACATTTCTTGTACTATGGCAGGTTGCTCCATCATGTTGGTACCATGTACGTTGCCTTTCCATTATTGGTAGGTTATGAAGAAATTCAAGAATCTCATTATTTAAAAATTCCAGATAACGTTCAGCATTCATATTAGTTCGAAAAAAAAATGGTCCAATTATTCTATCTTTAAAAATTCCACACCATACATTTGTTTTAAAACAGTATTGGTCACGAGTTTGGACAGTGAAATTAGGATTAACATCACTCCACCAACGGCAATTTTGTGAGCTGACTACCCCATTAGAAGTGAACGTTGCCTCGTCCGAAAAAATTATGCACCGTGCCATATAATTATTATCTTCTAACTCCCCTTGGAACCAAGCACAAAATTCAAATCTTCTATTAAAATCTCCTGCTTTTAGGGTATGAGTGAACTGGGGTTTGTAAGGTTTAAATTTGTTTGCTTTTAATATTCCTGCAACTACGTCTTTGCGCACACCAAGTAAAGCTGCCCTTTTTCTTATGGAATCTTTAGGATTTTCTATTGCTGAGAGCATTACTTGATTTTGAATTTCTTCAGTAGCAACCCATGCCTCATGTTTCTTTTTGAATTTATTCTCAACATTTCCGGAACACTTGAACTTTTTTATTATTTTACTTACTGTTGCAAAATGTACATTTTTATCAGGATGTCTGTTATTAAAGATTATGGCAGCTTCCCTATAAGTTTTGTAGTTATCTCCAACAATTAAAACAATTTCAATTTTCTCTTCAAGACTTAATTTCAACGGCATTTTTACTAGTATTTAAAAAAGTACAATTATTACAAACTGAGGTTTTGAAGCATACTGACATAAGATATGTTTCAAAACATTTCCACAGCAACTTGATTTTGTACAGGTCAATAATTTAGATACCTAGTTTTTGATCATTTTCGATCTTAAAGAAATTGTAAACAATAATAAAACCTGGTTTTTATCGTAGATAGCTGTAATTAGACATTTAAACGTAGTTTTCAATTCTAATCAACTTTTCTTAATAACAATTTTAGATATTGTCGAAAATAAAGGTACTTTACTCTTGAGCAAAATTCATACTTTTTGACAAACCTCGTATACGATTGGAAAATTTCGATATCTGATTATCGTATATTGGATTTTAGGCCTTGCAGAACTTTTTATGAAGAATGACGTTTTTTCCTAAACTTAATAATAAAAAAGTTTCCCATTTGTTGCCAACTTTTTCAGACACACTGTATATGTGGACACTGAAAAGAACGAAGGTCTTACAAAGGAATAGCTACGTCGTAACTTAAAATACTGTGTAGAAAAAACTTACCAATGAGATTCAACACGTGGTTAAATATATCCTCCTAAGAGCTCCTACAACATGTGTTCACAAAAAAAAATACTACCAAATCCACACTGTTGTAACTTAAAACAAAAAGGTTGCTTCGTAATATCCCAAATGGATTGAAACGACTTCCAATAAATTTCGAAAACAGTACCTTTCAAATTCACGTGCCGAATCTGAACCTCGAAAATTTCCAGAAGGCGGAAACCGACGTCATTTGACATCTCCCAAACCAGTAATACTAACATACCTTAGTGACAAATAGGTGTCCCATCAGCGTCCTCTATTACGAAATAAATTCTTGACAGAAAGGGCTAAAATAACCAAACAAACCTCTAAAACCAAATAAATAGCCTAACTAAACTCAAATAGAGGTCCTATCTACCCCAAACTGATCATATACCCACAATTAACGTCAGAGCGGAAACGCTAGACCGACATCTTGAATACAGGGCAGCCACATGCTCACCCAGAGTGTCGCAGATGGACCTCTGAATCGCTTTCGACGGTGAGGACAAAATCAGTGGTTCGCATATCGATCCAAAAGCACAGTGGTTTAAATGCGGTTATAGAAGGACCCATTAAATAATTACTGAACAAAGATAAAAACTAGTTTATTCCTATTTTTGTGAAAAACCGCTATAAGGCAAAATTTAAACGTTACAGGGTATCATCTTATTTTGCAAAAAAAATTTAAAAGATCCATGTAATCTCCTCGATTGGCCGATCTACTTGCTTCATTGTGACCCCTAAAACTTAGTTCATGCTCTCCCAAGAAACAAGTTGCATCTATTAATCGTTGAAAAACGTCCCTATTTTGTTTTACCCTTTCATTGTGAATTTTGTTGCGTATTTTTAAATGATTGTCCAAACTATGTTCAATGCGATAGGTCCCGAATGTTTTTTCTTTAATTGTAGCACTTATATGAGATTTGCTATTTACATGTCGTTTTACACTTTTGTGGAAATTATTCAAATCTGTAATACCGACTGAGTTCCAATGTGTTTTTTCGGCTATATTAAAAAGTAGGCAAGGCCAGCAAAACAATTTCTTCAAAGTTTTGCAGCCGGTTAACCATTCATACTTTTCATAGAACCCTACGTGAAAATGCCTGGGAAATTTCTTTGCTGACTTCTACTTTCGTCTCTAAACTGATAGGACCCTTTAGTCTACTAGAATTAATAATGTCCGTTTTCTCTTCAAAATTTCTACTTGAAAATCCTTTTTTCAATAAAGAGCAGACAATACAGACACAATTTACCACATTATTATTGTTCACAGGCACAGTGCATAGTTCCTCCGGTTTACAAAAAGAAAAACAACTACGAAAAACAAACTGAAATCTATCTGAAGTCTACAATTTTCCTCACACGTCGATTCGCGGTGCGAATTGCAATATGCGTAAGGCGATGTAAAAACAGACTGACTACTGTGTCACGGCAAAGCGACGAAGCGAAATCAATTGGAAGATGAGCCGGCTTTTTCAAGAGGCGCTTCCGCCGATGGACTTGAAGTACCTATATGGTGTGGGCGTTTACACAATTAATTTACTCATGGGTGGTGCGTGCGTTTACACATTACACCAATGAATTGTTAGTACATTTACGAAGTTTACGTAATGTTTCAGAGAAAATATAGTACTTAATTTAATTTTAATTTCTATGCATTGTAAACTGAAAAATATTTATTTTTAAATCTCAAAGTGTAGGGAAGCGGTGCTTTCCCCGCTTCCATGGACCGCACGCCCCTGATTTAACCCCTACAAATAGGCAATCCGTTAAGCTTTTGGCTATTTATTTTGTACCATTCTGAACCGTTAGTAGACATATTTCTATGACTACTTTCTTAAATCATGTTTATTTTATTGCAGATTCGGCTTAGGCAGACTCCCAGCACAATCCAGCAAGACCTATCATGAGTTTGAGTACACTCTTAGAAGCCGCAAGATTTTTGGAAATGCAAGAGCAACAACACAATCGAACGACGGTCGCAGCTGAGACATTGGCCACCATGCAACCAGTGGCGCCGATCATTGCCAAACCGAACATGAATCAAAACGGTTTGTCGACCATTTCGCTCACGCAGAGCACTTTCAAGACCGTCACCGCTAATTCCTCGCCACAGACCGTCGTCATTTCCTCGAGCAGTATTTCTCCTGGGATTTTGCAGGGACCTATTGCTATATCGACTTCTCCGCCACAGGTAAGTCCAACGCTTTTAATCCGTATTTGTGTACAAATCGGAACAAAGTTAAACATTCTCTCAACCCACATCCATATATCTTCGATCATACAAACACTAGATACTAGTAAATCATCTTGTCTATTTTTTGTGCGCAACTTAAAACTGTGATAATCTTTGACTGATCCAGACTTATTCCGTGAAGTCACGGCGAGAATTCTTCGGTGAATGGCCTTGAACGCCACAGATCAGAATACTGTCTACAACAGGCCTGCACACTCAGATATTCAAAGGTCCAGTTCAAAAACCGTAAGTGTACGAGGGCCAAGAGAGGCCTGAACGTATACAAATTAAAAAAAAGTCAGCTTATAATTTATAAAGCAACTCCTGCTGTCGAGCAATTAATGGCTAATAAATAGATCAGGGTCGATAATTTTTGAAACAAAAAAAAATAATAGTAGGATGAAACCCGTTAAAAAAGGACGAAAATATAACAAAAATAAAAGGAAAAAATAATTTACGGGCGATCTGAGGTCGGGAAGTGGAAAGGGGTGAGTTTTTAAGGGTAAAAAACGGTGTATCTCGATTTCCGGCAAAACTACAAGTCCTATGGAAAAAAATTAAATGACAAAGTTGTAGGTAATAAAGAGACCTACAACTTTTGTAATTACACTTTTTTCACATAACCTCAAAATTTATGTGAAAAATTCAAATAATCTAGTAGTATTTGGTTTTTTATTTTTATCTTATGCAAAAAAAAATTTTTTTTCTCGAAATTTGGTGAAAACTTACCTTTTTATGTCCTAAAGACACTGTAATTTTTTTGATTTGAAATATTTATTTTTTCACCTTATTTTGACTTAATATCGAAAAAACACCCTAATTTTCAATCGAAAATTCTCGCGTCAAAATATCAGCTTTTTAAAAAAAAGTTGGGGAGTTTTCTGTTCGTTGAAATCTCTTCTCTCTGATAATGTAAAAAAATATATAGATAACTATGGTAAATGTTCTCAGTAAATGCAAAGAAAAGAAAAAAACTCTAATCCGAATTTTTTTTTTTTTTTTAATCACTATGTACAATTTTGACCTATTTAGTAAAATTGACACTTTCATTACTTGAAAAACGTCAGATTCTATGTTACATTGATAAACAAAAAAATTACAAATCCATAAATCATAAAAATTGCAAGAAAAATGCGAAAATAGTTGTTCTAAATATTAAAGATAGGATTTAAAGGGGGGATTTCAATTAAAAAATGTGATTGCTGCAATTTTTGTGAGTCAAAAAGTTGATTAATTAATACATTTATGTCATAAAAAATCTCATAATATATGAATAGAAATTTAAATCGTACTATTGAATTTAGATACTTTATACTGATTATTATTAATCATAATAATATTTTAAAATGCATTAATCTTTTTATTTATAAATCTTATCTTGAACCCTAATCACTTATCCATTACTTTTGTCTCTTCAGTAGCATTTCTTCATCGTTAGATTCGACCAACCTTCCCGATTCTAGTAGATCTTCGAAATCTTCAAGACCATCACCGTCTTCGTATCCAATATTATTTTTAGTCTAAATTGGTCCTTCATCCACAATTTCATCTGAATCACTAACTTTCTGGTAGGTTTTTCCTTCCACATTGGTGCATTTTTCAGAACCATTACAATTTGAGCATAAATTTGTGCATTTTAAGCCATGTTTTCGGCAGCCACATATTAAACTGTTACATCCAGTTTCACAGCTGCAGCAAATAGTTTTGAGCAATATTTCCGGAATTAACTACTTCTCTGTAAATTTGGGCATAATCCCACGTTGATGTTGCTTCCAGCCCCAATCTGTTGCTGTCAGTTCGTTACCTAGCCAAGTTTGAAGTTGATAATATGCCCTGTAACAATGTTGTTCTGCTGCACCTTCTGTGGGTGGGAGATTTGCCAATATGAAAGATGATTTAATTTTTGCCAATTTATATTTTTGAAATCTTAAGTGTTATATTATCATTTTTACATTTATAAATAGATTTGATTAATTGTAATCCATTTTTCTCGATATCTTTTTTGTTTGCATGTTTTTTATAAAAAATATTGGCCAAATTTGACACATTTTTATCGTCTAATAATGAATTTACAATACTCTTCTTTCCTTTTCCGGCAAATCCAGATGTTATATCGCAACCAAAAAAACAATGCAGAAATCAATGGCGGCTCGTGGTAATTTAAAATGGGTGTTCACTTTTTCCAATAATTTTATCATTTGTAAGTTCGGATCAAAACTTTGTACAAGAGTCAATATCGCTGTTTTTTTTATTATTTGAGTTTGTATTAAGTGTAGTTATTATTATCAACATCATACTGTTTTCAAGCACTACAACTATTGATAAATGAATATTTTAGTTAGTGTAATATTTGTTTTGTTTTTAATACGTTGAAAACCATCTATAAATATTAGTTAGTAATCTGACTTTTCTTCATAATTTGAGATTATTTTTAAATATATATCAGGTTATGTAGAAAGCTTGACATTGATTTTTGTGTAAAAATTTAATATGAAACTTTACCTACAATTTTTTAGTTTTTATTGTAAGTTTAATCATTTTCACAATTTGTCAAAGATGTCAAATAAAAAATATATTTTTTAAATACCTTTTATTGCCAAATAAAATGAGAACTAAAATGTTTTAAATGTTTATTTTATAAGATCAGTCCCATCACAATACATAATATTACACAGACACAAACTAGAATAAAGATATATAATGCCTGGCATTCTAAATGATACTCTTCGCAGTTTAACAGAGCCCCTTAGTCCCCATTTTCAAACAGATTGTTTTCACAATCAATAGGCCTTATAGAGTTTGATTTTTACTAAAAATTTCATGTTGATATCGCTTTTCATTTTTGATTTTTTTTTAATTTCAACCCCCCTTAAATCCTCCATATTTAATCAGATTTTTTTTTATAATTAAAGGGCTTCTTCTCCTTTTAGAAATTGATGTTTGCTAACAATTTCAAGTTTATATTATTTTTCGTTTTTCAGTTAGGATTTTTTTTTTATATTTTAACCCCCCTTAACTCCCCAATATATTCATATTTTTTCAGTATCAGTAGGCTTTATCTTCTTATAAAGCTTCATTTTTACTAAAAATTTCATGTAGATATCGCTTTTCGTTTATAATTTAGGATTTTTTTTTAATTTCAACCCATCTTAACCCCCTATTTTTAATCAGATTTGTTAAAAATCAATAGACTTTGTCCCCTTATAGAGCTTGATTTTTGCTTAAAATTTTCAAATTGATATTATTTTTCGTTTTTGATTTATAGTGCAGACAAAAAACGTGACATCGGACAGACAGACAAAGTAAACCTATAATACTCTTCACAAAATACTGTATGAGGAGTAGAAAAAAAAATGTATGAGATAAAATAAACAATTTAAAAAGGTCAACAATAATATTCAACTTCTTTTATCAAAGGATACTAAAAGTTTGAAATAGCAGCACATAATTGAACACAGAACACAGAAATCTGTGAACTAAAATAGTGACATATATATCGTAAAATGTTATCACACTTAATTTTCCATATTATGATCCTTTCTATGTGTATTTCACAGCACATTTCAAAGTATTCTTGCACTCACTAATGTCCTACCCTCATGGCTGCTTTTGCATGTCCAAGTTTACTAAAAAAATAATGTGTTTTAAGTTTTAATAAATAGAATAATAGTAATTTTGTTTAAATAGGTAAATCGGCTTCATCTGTATTTCCAAATTATTGTTTAATTGTAGATAGTATATTAATGTTTTGATATGTACTAATAAAATTGATTAGCCAGAGCATGCAGATATCTGTGACGTGACTTGTTAAGTGTCTAATCAAAATCACAATTTATGTTTGATACTTATTTCGAGACATTCTTTATTACCAACTGTAAATTAATTTACCAGTAGCCTTATTTTTATTTAATACCTGTAGTGATTCAAATTACCATAACATCTAATATTTTTGAAAATACTAAATTATACAAACAAGGCAATAAAAAAATTTCTGGTTTGTATGCAACAAACGATCTTGGTTAGAGGGTAACACGATTGATAATTGCAGGCAAACATAACTTTATATAGGTAAACTATTTAAATGTACATACCATTTCTTAGGTAAAATTTCTCATCGAGTATATTAAATTAACTCCTTAATCCATTTTTTCTATTCAGACTTTTAAAGTGAAAAACCATTTGTCTCTTTATCTTCATCAAATTTTTATTGTACATTTCCATAATGATGTCTAGTGACCTCATCAGAATAATTCAATTTTTCCTTTTAGCAGGTTTTGTGAGAAAAAAAAATTTACAATTTTTTTTGCTTACTTCTTTCTTGATAGTATTTACAATTGAATACAAAATAGACCATTTTGAAGTAGTCCTTGGATGTTCTTAGACACTAAAACAAAATATAATACAAATTAGAGTCGTAAAAATTTATTATATGTAAATAAATCAACATAACCTTAAAAATTTTAATTTACCTTGCCTTTCGGGAACAATCGTTGAATTGGCACACATCTTTCAATTTATTGAAGACACAGTTCTTAATTAAACACATTTTTTTAAATAAGCACAATTAATATAATCTTAGGTTTTTTTTGTATTTAATAGTAGAGGAGTGGGGTGGGTTGGCTCAGTGGTTAGAGTCATGACTTTGAGATCGGAAGGTCTCAGGTTCGAATCCCACCGTTGGCCGGGATTTTTTCATTTAATTTAATTATTTAAAATTAATTCTGATGCCTTGGTAGGATTCCCCACTCGACCATTCATTGTTGGGTTCTAATTAACAGTGCTTTTCCTAAAGTGGCGCTGGGAAACAATAACAAAGCCTACACAGAACACGAGGCTAATGGCCGTAGTAGTCGACGCCGATGACATCAAATTAAAAAAAAAAAAAAAAAAAAAAAATAGTAGAGGAGTGACAACTAATGATAGTGACAATTTGTTTGATTTGATACAGTGTTGCCAGA